AGAGTGCACAAGCCGAAGCGTGTTTTATTTAAATTTACCAAGATAGTATGAGGAGCTACAAGCAGGACAACATATAAAGCACGCTTCGGCTTGTGCACTCTTGATTTGCTATAACAACCTTTCTAAATTTTGATATTAAGCACACTTAGGCTTGTGCACTCTCGTTATAGTAAATTTTGTATGACAGCTCGCGACTGATTTTCCCGCTCATGTGAATAACACGTGAATGCGTGTTTGTAATAATCCCACATTAGTAATATAATACAATGGCATCACATCTTCATTTCATGAATAAAATCTCTTTTATGTTTGTGTGTTGGTTTCCTTCCTTCTTTTAAACCAGCCATTGTCCAGTCCCAAGTCTGGAATGAGAAATTGGTGAGGGGAAGGAATATTATTGTATGTAGCTAAAGTGGAATTGATCATGGTAAGCAATAGTGATATGTTGTCCTGCTTGTAGCTCCTCATACTATCTCAGTAAATTTAAATTATATATATATATATATATATATATATATATAAAAAAAGTTTGTCTCGGAAGCAATGAAGATCAGACAAAGGATATCAAACAACACTAAATCTAATAATTTTGCACAAACGTTTTCGCTTTATTGAAAGCTCCTCAGGTGCTGAATACTTTGTAAGAAATGAGTTGTGATATCCTATATTTACATATTTCACTGGTTTGCCACTACGTCACTACACGTGTGGTGTTGGATTACTTAATGGTAATTATTTACATAAATATTTCACACAAACAAAGATATGAAAATATATAACAAAATCTTACATAAACTGCATGGTATTATTATTGACATGAATTTAAATCCGGCTGAAGTATAGTTATAATGTCTCTTTTCTTCGACTCCCTGACTAAGCGGTCTGAATGACTGTCACATTGATAAATCAGCATAATCTGGAAGTTGCCATTGCTACATTTTCTGATGTGCTCACTTACTGCTAAGTGGCAATATTCTTTATGGTTTATTTGCTGTCTGTGTAGCGTAACTCTGTGACAAAGATTTTCAGTTTGGCCGACATAAAAACTTTTGCATTTTGTGCAGAGTAGAACGTATATAACGTTCCGCGATTTACAATTCATCTGACATTTTATATTCCACGCTTTGCCGTTCTTCAGTTTGATATCAACTCCAGTCACTATGATTGCACAGGTACCGCATCTTGTTTCTCCGCATTTTGTCACACTGCTGGGAGTTCTCTCGGAAACGAACCAGGCTTGTGTTAGTTGTTTCTTCAAGTTTTTTGGCTGGTGGCGGCTGACAATAAACTTTGTACTTTCCAGAATTGTTTTCATGTTCTCGGAGTTCTCTAGGAATTGCATGTCCTGTTTTATCTTATTGATTACTTGTGGGTTGTTGGGATTATGTGTCAAAACCAGCGGAAGGATCTTTGCGTTGTCATCTCTGTTTTTTGGTGTTCTAAGTTCGGCCATTGGTAGAGAGGTTGCTTTCTCTATTCCCTTTGTGATGAGGTTCTTAGGGTAGTTTTGTTGTAACAGGAATTTTTCGAGTTCGAGTCGTTTTGTTTTGATGTGTGGGTCTCACACAATGCAACATATGCAACGGGCCAGGCTGTAAGGGATGTTGGTTTTCGTGTGTTTGGGATGACACGAGTTAAAATTGAGATATTGGTTTGTGTCAGTTGCCTTGTAGAAGATGTCCGTATTCAACTTGTCATCTTGCTTGTACACTAACACATCTAGAAATGGCAGCTTGGCGTTGTCAAATTCTACCGTGAAATTGATGCTTTCGTGGAGACTGTTTAACATAGCATGTAGTTTCCTCAGATCTTCCTCTGATTTGTTCCAGATTGTGAAACAATCGTCTAAATATCTCTGGAAAGCGCGTACAAATTCCTCCTTTTGTTCACTACCAAATCGCGTTTCGAATTCTGAGTACAGTTTCTCTTCCAGGTATCCAAGTACAAGGGTCGCATAAGTTGGGGCCATTTTCGTCCCCATCGCTGTTCCCTGAATTTGTTGATATAATTTATTGTCGAAGTGGAAAGTGTTCTCTTTCAGGACAATTGTAATCGATTCCATGATGAATTCTTTAGAAAACAATCGGTTGAGAGAATTTGTCAATCCAGTATTCGATAGCTGTAAGGCCGAGTTCATGCGGAATACTCGTATATAGGTTGACAACGTCAAATGATACAAGGAGTGCGTTATCATTGACTGTTTCTGGGAGGTGGCTTAAAAAATCGAGGTCATCGCGGATGAAACTTGGTACATGTTGACACAGGGGCTTCAAAATTATGTCTATCAAATTGCTCAATCGATGTGTGGGTGACGATGGACCAGCAACAATCGGGCAAAGTTTCAGATCTGGTAGCGCTTGTATCTTGATGTACGTGGAGTTTTGTTGTTCTATGGCTTCTTTTACGGCTTGTGATTTGTGGATTTTTTGTAGTCCATAGAAGTTGGAGGTTTTCCAGGCGAAATTCTGCAAGTAATCTTTCTCTTTCCTTGTTGTTTCCTTGTCGAATTTTTTCAAGTGTGTTCCAATTTTTTTGATGATTTTATCATCATAGTTCGTGTCTGTCAGTTCTGCGTAGTGTTCGTTGTCGGCCAGCAATTCTTGTATTTTAGCATGATAAAATGTTTTGTCCATGACCACGGTCGCTCCGCCTTTATCAGCCTCCTTAATGATAATTGTGTCATCGTTTTTCAATTTGTCCAATGCGTCTTGTTCGGCTCTGGATACGTTGTTTTTCTTCGCCGTTGTGTCGTGTTTATGGTAGTTCGCTGTTGCTTCAATAAACATGTTGAGGTATCTATCTTCTGACTTTGGTGGTACAAAGTTTGATGGGTTTTTCACCAACGATTTGTCAGTATCTTCATTTGGTCGCTGGTTGTTAAAAAATTCCAGTAGACGCATTCTTCTGGTAAATTCCTGAATGTCAGTTTTTAGTTCACTTCGATTCTGTTTCGGCGTTGGAGTGAATTTGAGACCTCGTTCTAATAGATTGATTTCTTCATTCGATAATTCTCTCGAAGACATGTTGATTTAGAGAATTATATTTTCATATCTTTGTTTGTGTGAAATATTTATGTAAATAATTACCATTAAGTAATCCAACACCACACGTGTAGTGACGTAGTGGCAAACCAGTGAAATATGTAAATATAGGATATCACAACTCATTTCTTACAAAGTATTCAGCACCTGAGGAGCTTTCAATAAAGCAAAAACGTTTGTGCAAAATGATTAGATTTAGTGTTGTTTGATATCCTTTGTCAAATCTTCATTGCTTCCGAGACAAACTTTTTATATATATATACATATATATATATATATATATATATATATATATATATATATATGTATGTATACAAACCTTCCTCATAAGAAGCTCAAAAGACTGCTTGCTTCCGAGACAAACTTTTATATATATATATATATATATATATATATATATATATATATAGATATAGATATATCAACCTCGTTCCCAGGGCCTTTATTGAAAACGCGGAGGGGGGAGAAGAGAAAAAGGCCCTGGCACCGGCTGGCATATGTAGCCATTTGATTGGTCAACTGTATCACGCAATTAATTTATGCGATAAGGAATATTTGCATAATTATGTCGAGAAAAAAACTAAGATAAGCGAAAAAATATCGGGATTGTAGTGTGCAAAAAAGTTATTACGAGTTTCTGTCTTTGAAAACCAGAATGGCAGAAACTCCAAAAAAGATAACAGCTCGGACGTCATGTCGACTGTGCGGCTCATTGTACGAAAGTCATCGAATGTGTCGAATACTAAGCAAAAATGAAAATATGTGTGCGAAAATAAAAGAAACATGCAAAGTTATTGTGACCGAAGACGATAATCTTACAAAGATGATATGCAGGAATTGCAAGAAATTCGTAAATAAGATTAGCGACTTTATAGAAAAGTGTCAGAATGTGCAGGTTGGAATGCAGCAGTTATATTCTGTGAAGAGATGTGTAGAACTATCGTCTTCCGTAGTACCTCCATCGAAGAAAATTTCGATCTCAGATAATCAAGAAACATCACATTCAATTTGGTCGAAAAGAATGCTGTTTGCCAGCGAGACAAAAACGCCTTCAGAAACTAGACAGCCTTTTATACATGAAAGGCATGTACCTATGCTAAGCGATGACCGAATACAGAAAATCATTCGAGCAGCAGAGTCAAAACAACCAGTGGTTTTGGCGCATATTATCATTATATAACATAACACATAACATAACACTGTCCCGTAGTTATGGCGTCTCTGAAAAAGTCTATAGCTGACAAAATAGATTCATCGTGCAAAGCTCTTTGCAAGCACTCTGGTGGTTCAGTTCTTTTCGGTACGACATTTGAGAGTCTGAAAGAATTTTATTTCGACTTGGTATGGAGTGAAATGGCAACAAACGTACCGTTTCTAGTAGACATTTTCAAGGCTGTATCTGGCAAGAATGGTCCCATTGAGAATGAGTTTTTCCAAAATGACTATATTGGTAGTTGGTAAAAATCTCACCTTTTCTCTAATTTGCATGGATTCATTGCAGATAGCTGTTGGATATGACTCTTCACAAACACAACAGCATATCTCTTGTGTAACACATAAAAATCCCAAGTAATTCAGAAGAAGTTGCCGAAGGCAGGTCTCTTGTGATAAGCAGTATTCTTTCATGGATTTATCTATGTGTTTCACATTGTCTGATACGTCTGAATTGTTATAATATAATGTTGCACTTGCCAAATGACCTGAACGACCAGCACGGCCAATTTCTTGGACATAGGATTCAATGCTACTTGGAGGTGTAATGTGAATAACATGCACTATATTTGGTGCATTAACTCCCATTCCAAGGGCTGATGTAGCAAATATAACTCTTATCCATGAGTTTTGTTTCTTAACTTCTGATATGATAGTCTTTTTCATTTCATTTGTTTGGGGTGCATGGAACTGTGCAAACAATCTCGCAACTGAATCCTTAGATTCCCCCACATATTGTTTCTCCTTTAACACTCTTTCAAACTACCCATATGCATAACCACAGTATTTGAGTTTCATGTATATCACTGTCATGGGGTAACTTTCCAGTTCAACAGACAATTGATTAGCAATAGGTAGCAGGATATTACTATAACTTTCATATATATGCTGATTGCTCGTTCGCATCTTCTTTTGAAGAAATATATTTCTACGATTTGGGTTAGCTGACACATCTTTGCAAGAGCTGTTGAAATTCATGCTATTTTTTAGGTTGCTCAACATATGTGGTGGTGCTGTTGCTGTGAGTGCAAGAAATGGAGTTTTTGGAAAGAAGGCACGCACAATGGACAAATTTCCAAAATCTTTTCTGAATTCATCACCCCTTGAAAACAGAAAAACTCTCATTTAGGACAAGATGCAGGTTAGACCACTCCATCTAGTTGCATAACTGCAATCTCTGAGTAGTGATTATGCTGCCTTTCTTGCCACCCACAAAATAGTATTTGAAAGGTGAATATAAATTAATTAAATTTCCTTGCGTATTAACAGCATGATTAAATTATTATTATTATTTGCTAGGAGAGGGTTATGGTTATTTCCCTAATTGTATTGCAGGCCCATTAATGATTTAGCCAAATTAAACAAAATAGCAGAAAGTTCTTTTCATGCAAACTAGACAGCCTTGGATGAACAAAAAAGCCAGAATTAAAAAGGTAAACAAAATACTGGCAAAAGTACAAAATATTGTACATACGAAAATCTAGGATTGAAAATTATGTCCCAAATGAAATGATCTCAACAAAGCAGTTCCAAAATTGTTACGATTTTATCATGCTAATAATAAGCAATTGCTTGTACAATAATTAGGGATTAATAGTATGTGTCATCGCATGATTTCCAATAATAATACTAATACCAATACATTAATCCACTTCACTATGTTCTATGCATGAACAACTTTAAATTTATATGAATATACCAATAACACTCACCACATTTCCACGCAATGTGCTTCATCTACAACACACGCGACAACATTTCTTTGAAACACTGTACTTTTCATTAGATTTCTTCCTTTCTCACTTAATAAGGCTTCCGGGTGGGTAAAAAGAAGTTGAACATCGCCATTTAACATCTTGTTGCTTAAAAGTACACCTACATCATCACTTTCTGCAGTCATTTCATCCGATTTAAACAAGCTTTCCGCTACTTTCATACGATGATCAACAAGCTGGAGAACTTCTGCCTCAATACCGATGTTCTTAGCAACCTTTAACTGGTCCTCAATGATTGCGTTTAAAGGACAGACAACAATAACGATATTTTTGTTAGCTTTGGTCGGCAAGAAATTTGGCAGAAGTTGAAACAAAAGAGATTTGCCAAAGCCAGTTGGTAAAACAGCAACGACGTCAAATTCGTTTAGTATGTGCTCAAAACATTTAATCTGTAACGGCTTTAAGACAAACGATGGGAAACCTCCCATATTTAAAGCATTATGAAGTTGCTGCAGCACGTGTAAGTGGTGTAAACACTTCGAAGGGTCGGCCATCTTGCAAAATTTAATTATCGATTTAAAACCACGATTCGTGGTTTTAGAATCAGCCGGTGCCAGGGCCTTTTTCTCTTCTCCACCCCTCCGCATTTTCAATAAAGGCCCTGGGAACAAGGTTGTAGATATATATATATATATAGAACCAGTTAAAGGTTGCTAAGAACATCGGTATTGAGGCAGAAGTTCTCCAGCTTGTTGATCATCGTATGAAAGTAGCGGAAAGCTTGTTTAAATCGGATGAAATGACTGCAGAAAGTGATGATGTAGGTGTACTTTTAAGCGACAAGATGTTAAATGGCGATGTTCAACTACTTTTTACCCACCCGGAAGCCTTATTAAGTGAGAAAGGAAGAAATCTAATGAAAGGTACAGTGTTTCAAAGAAATGTTGTCGCGTGTGTTGTAGATGAAGCACATTGCGTGGAAATGTGGTGAGTGTTATTGGTATATTCATATAAATTTAAAGTTGTTCATGCATAGCACATAGTGAAGTGGAAGAATGTATTGGTATTAGTATTATTATTGGAAATCATGCGATGGCGCATACTATTAATCCCTAATTATTGTACAAGCAATTGCTTATTATTAGCATGATAAAATCGTAACAATTTTGGAACTGCTTTGTTGAGATCATTTTATTTGGGACATAATTTTCAATCCTAGATTTTCGTATGTACAATATTTTGTACTTTTGCCAGTATTTTGTTTACCTTTTTAATTCTGGCTTTTTTGTTCATCTAAGGCTGTCTAGTTTGCATGAAAAGAACTTTCTGCTATTTTGTTTAATTTGGCTAAATCATTAATGGGCCTGCAATACAATTAGGGAAATAACCATAACCCTCTCCTAGCAACCAGTGATTTAATCATGCTGTTAATACACAAGGAAATTTAATTAATTTATATTCACCTTTCAAATACTATTTTGTGGGTGGCAAGAAAGGCAGCATAATCACTACTCAGAGATTGCAGTTATGCAACTAGATGGAGTGGTCTAACCTGCATCTTGTCCTAAATGAGAGTTTTTCTGTTTTCAAGGGGTGATGAATTCAGAAAAGATTTTGGAAATTTGTCCATTGTGCGTGCCTTCTTTCCAAAAACTCCATTTCTTGCACTCACAGCAACAGCACCACCACATATGTTGAGCAACCTAAAAAATAGCATGAATTTCAACAGCTCTTGCAAAGATGTGTCAGCTAACCCAAATCGTAGAAATATATTTCTTCAAAAGAAGATGCGAACGAGCAATCAGCATATATATGAAAGTTATAGTAATATCCTGCTACCTATTGCTAATCAATTGTCTGTTGAACTGGAAAGTTACCCCATGACAGTGATATACATGAAACTCAAATACTGTGGTTATGCATATGGGTTGTTTGAAAGAGTGTTAAAGGAGAAACAATATGTGGGGGAATCTAAGGATTCAGTTGCGAGATTGTTTGCACAGTTCCATGCACCCCAAACAAATGAAATGAAAAAGACTATCATATCAGAAGTTAAGAAACAAAACTCACGGATAAGAGTTATATATATATTTTTAGCTAAAATCTACTATATAGGATGATTTCCATACATTCCCCCCCCTCCCCCCAATCAATGTTGGTTTTCAAATCCAAACACGTTTTGGAACAAAATGTCTGTCTATTTGGGACACAACATTTAAAAGGGGGCGCGGGGGATTTGGGTTTGTTTAAATCGCTAATTTGGCAACCTGTCCCAACTCTTTTAAAAATTATTGTATATATATATATATATATATATATATATATATATATATATATATATATATATATATGTATATATTTATATATGTATATATTTATATATGTATGTATGTATCTACATACATACATACATACATACATACATACATACATACATACATACATACATACATACATACATACATACATACATACACACATACATACATATATATATATATTTTAGAAATATATATATATATTTTAGATATCTCAGCCATTTCCTTCCATCTTTCACCAGTAGTCAAAGGGTGCTGACACATTTTCGATCCATGTGTTACATTTTTCATGAAACTGAAGCATAACTTTTGCCAGTTTCATTCAAATAGTAAAAATAAACTAAACCTTGAGATCTTGTTATAAATCAATATGTTCTGTTTGTATCCCTGTTCCACTGCTTCGACATGCTGTTTGTGAATTTAAGCATAATTCCTTTGCTCAATTTTAGTGTTTACAGGAAGCATAATTTAGCATTTAATATTTTGATCTTTTTGAAGCAAATGGAATATAAATATTTCATATTTAAAAAATACAAATGTGTGCAAATTAACATTTCCATGTATGTACAAGTCATTAATTATATATGAAGTATTAAATTTACAGGGCGTATCATATCCGCTCTGTTTTACAATACAAAAGCCATTTTAAATTTCCACAGGCCTAAAATCTATTATGATTTAGCCCAAACGTGCTTAAATTTAACTATTTAAAATTAATTAACAAATGAAATGGGCAATATAAGCAAGTTTTAATACTTATATGCTGTGTTACCTTTGGAAATCATATACAATTTTATATGGATAAAAAATAGCATGCCAAAAGTACTTACGAATCAATAAATATGTTCCCCCATGCCAAAAGTACTTCGAAATCCGACAATCACCGAAGATGTCAAAAAACAGTAATAGTTCATAATCGTGATCTGTTCACTTATCTGACGATTTCGGAATATGTAGACATTTAGACGGACGCGGACACTTTTCAGCTATAACATAGTGGTTAGCCGCGCCTGCGCAGCGGCTACCAACAAAAACGTGCGATGCTTATTTTTTGCAGTCTTTATATTGTGCATATGTTGTGTTTTTGCTTTTGTTTGTATTTCACATGAAATGATTAATACATTTTATTATTCATTCAAGTAGCTATTGCTTAAAAATATCAGAACAAACTATTAAACAGTAAACACTACGAATGTTGAGGATAACATTTTGTATATGTTTTGACTTCCAGTAAATAAAATGTTAACCATACTTACTGTTTTGTTTTGTTTAAAAAATTGTAAACAACACAATGGCGGGTACAAAACGATGTAAATTTCATAACTGAAATAGACAGGATAATAATTAATGTCTAACTTTGTACTGACAACAACTTTATTTACAGCATTATTGCATCTAAAATACAAAATATTAGTATGAAGTTGGCACTTTACTCTTGTAGCTGTAGGTATTCTTCAAGTGTCTGCAGCGGCTGCAGCTGAAAGTATTCCGACACAATGCTCCCATACAAACAAGCATGGGCATTCTGTAAAATTGCACAAACAATATATATCTTTCCAATTGGACTTACACGAAGTTGAAGTCCTGGTTTAAAGTCTGTAAACTGAAAGTACTTTACAATTTCTCCAAACAGCTACTCGACGGAGACATGAACAGAGCTCATAGCTTTGTTGTATGCTTTCATTTCGTCGCTGAGGTTTGCATCACAAAATGGTGCTTGTAAGTAAACTCTTAGCGGGTATGCAGGATCGCCGTAAATACACAGCGTTTCCCCAGTTGGAGAATATGCAATTTCTTTCCAGATCCCTCATTAGACCTGACTCAGCTAGCATACCAGCATAATGTTTCCTTCCTTCTGCAAAAATAAATTAAAATGAGTCAAATTTTATGCGTGTATTTCAAACACTCATGGAATTGAAATCAGAGATTGACATCACAAACACGTACTTACCCCATGGTCCAGAAACATTCGCAATCAGACCGTTTGGTATTACGATACTTTGAAATTTTATGCTACAATCCTAGACAAAAAACACGCGGACGCTATTTATAATGGCTGAACTTTCGGTCTGTCAATTATTTTTTCGCATGTGTAGTCGTATTCCCCGCTCCCCTGTTGCAATGTTGTTGGGAATAGTATCGCAATAATCGCCATAACAATTCAAGTGTTCATCAACATTGTTTCAGGGGGAGGGGGTCAGTTTTATGAGGGATATGTAAATATTTGTCACTGATAATTTCTTCATTCCATGTTTGTCCCAGCAAATTTGTCTATGATTGTCTGAAAAAAAATTACCATCAATTTTCACACATTTTCTCATTTTCGCCTGCGAAAAAAGAGTCAAAAATTCATTTTTTTGCTATCTTATGTCTATATTAGAGTAATAAGGTTAGAAATATTCATACAGAGCAGTCGCTTCCGGTTTGTCATATCCGCACGAAACGTTCACGTGAAGCTTGTTGTTGTGACATTTTCCTGCAGTTGTAACATATACTTATGCATCCACAGACGATGGTAAAAGAATACACGTATTATATCTATCTATAAATATATATTAATACAAATATATACTCCGGAATGGCGTCAGCGTCGACTAAAGCAGTTGATCAGGGAAATTCAGACAAATATGACGAGGCAAGTCCGGATGTCAGTGGCGTACCGTCATCTGCTACTCGAAGTGTATACCTAGTGACTTACAGTCAGCCAAATTTAGAAAAATTTCCTCTTCGAAGCGACTTTGCTAAGGCGATCATTGCCTCGTTCACCCAAGGTTCTGCCCGAGTGCTTCATTGGTGCTGTAGTCTTGAAAACCATAGAGACGGTGGGAAACATTATCACATGGCGCTGAAACTCAACAAAATACAGAGATGGCTACCTTCCAAAAGATATATGTTACAACAATTTGGTGCCAGCGTTCACTATTCAAGTATCCACCATGATTACTATAGCGCATGGCTCTATGTTGCTAAGAGTGATGAAGGATATGAGGAGAGTGATGGGCACCCAGATCTAGCAAATGCTAATGTGCCGAAAACCACCAAAGCAAGCATTGCAAAGAAAAACGTTAGAGGCAAAGTGGGTGTAAAAACTAGCACTAAAGAGAAGACGAAAGCAAAGCGAGTAGGAAAGACGAAAAAAAAACGTCTAACGCCATTGGATGTGTCAAATATCATTCTGATCAAGAACATAAAGACAGAAACTGAACTTCTCGCCCTTGCACAAGAACAGCGAGAACAGGGGAAAACAGATCTGGCGGGGTTTATTCTAAATAGGTCGCCGAAGGTGGTAGCGAACATACTCAATAGGACGTGGCAAATGAAAGGTGCGGAAGATAAAATTGCGAGATCAAAAAAAAGTCGAATGGATCTTCTTCAAGAGGCTTCAAACTCAGATTGTGTTGCCGGGTGCAACGGTGATTGGTTGCGGTGTGCGAATGAAGTTTTGCAAAATAATGGCATAAATATATCGTGCTTTGCCGAATCAGTACGAGAAAGCCTAACCAATGGTCGCAAAAAACACCGCAATGTGATGCTCGTTGGCCCGGCTAATTGCGGAAAGACTTTTCTCCTTAAACCCCTAATGGTGGTGTACCATGCGTTTTGCAATCCAGCTACTGGAAGTTTTGCATGGGTTGGCATACAGGATGCCAAATGCATATTCCTTAATGATTTTCGGTGGAGCCCTCAAGTTATACCATGGCACGACTTCTTGTTAATGTTAGAGGGAGAGGTTGTTCACCTACCAGCTCCAAAAACTCATTTTACCCGAGATATTGAGTTCGATAAAGATACGCCAATCTTTTGTACGAGCAAACGACCGTTAATATTCATAAAGAATGGTATTGTCGACGACCGGGAGACCGAGATGATGTCCGTTAGATGGAAAATTTTCTACCTTAATTACGCCATACCTTTAGAACAACAGCGGCGAGATCTCCAGCCAACAAGACAATAACAAACACTTTATATCTACTTGTGTAAAAAGTGCATGTGATGATAGAATCATAAAATATATTCACTCTACACGTGTATTTATAAGATGGCCACAGTAAACATTCAAAAGCGATAGTTGTTGAATAATTAAGAATGCTTCATTCATTATACTTTCAAAACGCATCATCGAATGTTTACCGTGGTAGCTTGCTGTTTATTGTAAATATTGTTTGTGTATCATCTTGTGCATAATGTAGATCATTCTGCTATAACAAAGCATGTGAATTGAAACATTATTGCTAAGTCTGATAGTAACAGATTTTATTTTTTCAGGCGTGTTTACCGGTTGTATTGATGGTATTTAATAACATATTGATGATTACATGTAAAATATTTTGATTATACTTTTATATTTTGCCGTGGGAAAGTATATAATTATATGATACAAATGCAAACTGACTCCAAAGTTATAATGTCATTAGTATTTTGATCTTTTTCCTTTGGAGGATCTGATTTCTTCAATTCTTTTTGGCATGCTTTCAATGGTTTTGTCAATGCTTGTGATTTCAAATGTGTTGAGACAGCGCAGCACACGCGTCTTAAAAGCATCAAATGATTCTTTAGTTATATTCTGTTCAATTGCTTCTTTTTGCAGCCTTTTTTTCACTAAATGAAATACGTTTTCAATCGGATTGATATCCGGAGAACGCGGTGGAATACGGTGGAATTCGCACTCAATTTGTGTTAAAGCTGACATCGCTCTTTTGCTCGTTTGGCATGGATCATTGTCCATTACAAACAACCTCTTCCCACCAGTTTTGGGTCTTGCTTTGCCAAAGCACAAATTAAAATGATTTCTAATGAATTGTTCAAAAAAATAACCGTTCATTTTTTCATACACCTCGCTGAGGATGACACCCTTGCCCCAAGCGACGGCTGCGAGAACGTGAAGGCGTCTGCCACCTGCCAGAGTTTTACTTCCTTTCGCAGTGATAGCAAGCCCTTCCCCTTTCTTTCTCCACACTCGCGATTTTGGTTGAATTGCCGCCTTACGAGGGTCGTTCTTGTGTACAAACGATACTGCGTCCAGGTAGAAGGCCACGTGATTAGTGTAGTAATCTGGGTAATCACGTAAAACTCTTTTCATTTCATGTGCGTAGAAAAGTCTGAGGCGTTTGTCGTGGTCATTTAAAAGTCCTTTTTTCCTTGCCTGTCTCATGTGGTAGCCGTTTTGGTTAAGGTATCTGGAAATTGTTCTTTCATGCACCCGCTTTGAGTCAAATCCACATTCTACCATTAGATCTTTTACCGAGAAGTTCACGTATTTCTTTCGATAATATTTTAGAACTCTGATTAAAAGTCTTTGCTCCCGTTCGTTTAAGCACTTTGGACGGCCTTTCTTTCGCACGCTACTTGGAGCATTTATCTCCCTGCTACATATTCTGTGCGCCGTAGATTTTGATATGCCACATTTGGGCGCTATTCTTCGATAACTCAGGCGAGAATGTTGTCGATAGAAACGAGCTAAAGCCCTTGTCTCAGCGCATACCTTTTTAGCCATGTTGCGCTATAATCATATGACGCATACAATTGTTATCAACTAATTATAACTATCACAAATATTAGCATAATTTATTATTAGTTCCAGACCAAATGTGATAAATGATCTCTTACTCATCTCTATATACACCCTGAGATAGTATAAAATGCAAAAAGGTGATAAATTTGCGAAAAACTATGATATTTATACCCGACAGCTTTTCAGACAATCCTAGACAAAAAACACGCTGACGCTATTTATAATGGCTGAACTTTCGGTCTGTCAATTATTTTTTCGCATGTGTAGTCGTATTCCCCGCTCCCCTGTTGCAATGTTGTTGGGAATAGTATCGCAATAATCGCCATAACAATTCAAGTGTTCATCAACATTGTTTCGGGGGGAGGGGGTCAGTTTTATGAGGGATATGTAAATATTTGTCACTGATAATTTCTTCATTCCATGTTTGTCCCAGCAAATTTGTCTATGATTGTATGTACTCTTTTGTGCCTGTTATACACATCCCTTTGGTGTTTTGCAGGCCTGCAAATTGGTCGTACCATACCATCAATAAACCCAAAACAATTGCTCAAGGGGGCGCCTTTAGCATGGATGACATTGGCATACGTTTGTAGTGAGTCTTGGGTTAAAAATAGACTATCCCATTGCTGAATCTGGGATTTCTAAACAGCGTTTAAGGCGTAGGATGTCAGCTTTCTCAAACCGCAGTTCGGTGTGACATGTAATTTCGTCATAATTTTCCCAACTGAAAGGAGTGTAAATTTTGTTTGGAAAATTAGATTGTGCAAACTCATTTTTTCTCAACTCTTCGTCCAGTGTAAGCAGCTGTGTGTCAAAAAGATGACCGTTTCGGTGAGCGATCAATAAAATATCTAAAATTTCCTCTCTACTTGCCATGCATATGACTGACGTTTTACCGTGCAGTGAGTGCGCCGTACTAAAAAGTATTTTGCATTTCCCAAACTCGAATTTTGGCGGGACGTTACACGGACTCGCCCCAGGCTAAAAAAATTGAGCGCTGAAGTTGCGATTGCGATCGCAGTGCGTTTCTCAAACTCTTTAGTAGCTCTCTCACAGCAGCAGCGAAAACTATCTAATGAACTTCATTATTCATAAGCACTTTGTGAGCACATTTTAACCATCAGGTTTCACAGGTTGTTACATATTCACCACTAGAGGCGTCCTTCATCTTCCATGTTTGTTGGATAAGGTCGTTAAGACTTTTAGAATTGCGCGACAGCACAAAATCTGCAAGATCTTTCTTTTCTTGTTCTCGCTATAATTGTTGACATCTCTTGGTTTTGGGAGAGCCATTTTCCTGCGATTTGGGTGGCTGTGTTGTGATAAACTGTATCATCTCATTTGTTTACATACTGATATGCGCTGTAGTATCCACTGTGGTCAGAAAAATTGACAATTATACTGTGTTGCGCTTCAAGACTTTTTTTGGCTTCCAGCCATCTTTTAGAACCACTAAGCTTCAAGGCTATGTGGTAATGAAGACCACCATTATGTGGTAATGAAGACCACCATCTGAGTAAACTAAATTTACCAATCAGAATACAAAACAAAAATCGCACTGAGCCTTCCACATAGTGGTGAGACGTTATGTAATATTTATAAAATCATGTATCCCCCCTTTATAAACTCTGGCTCTCCCCCCTTAAAAACACAAAAACTTTGTCTTACATTTAAAAAAAGAACTACACAGCAGAACTTTATCATAAACAACGAATAGGTTAGTGAAATGTTTATTAACTGAATAAAAGTTTTTTAACTGAGACAACCTTGGAAAAAATACTGGGAGACTTTTTTCGAAGTCTAACCAGATTTCCAGTTACGTACAGCAAATGTACAAACTCTCAACCAAAAGGCAAGTTGCCATTAATTCCCCCTCCCCCTCCCCCCATTACAATGTTGTTCAGTTTAATGACAATTTGGAAGAGATACAACACTAGTTCAACATTGTAATGGGGGGAGGTGGGGGGGGGGGCAAATAACAAAATTAGAAAAGTCTACGAATTTTTTTCCAGGATTGTAGCTTCGATACCTTCAATACCTTTGCTACCTTCAATACCTTCGCTACCTTTGATACCTTCGCTACCTTTGATATCTTCGATACCTTTGCTACCTTGGATACCTTTGATACCTTTGTTACCTTTGCTATCTTTGCTACCTTCGATACCTTTGCTACCGTGGATACCTTTGCTACCTTACTGTGGCTGAGATCATGTTTCCCACCGGAAACATATCTCCAGTCTGTTCTGTTCTGTTTAGTCAATGATTAGTCAATTTGATTGTAGAAGTTCTTTCTAAATTATTTTCTCTCGTTTTGCCTGGAGTAATTTAATATTAATTCGTTAAAAAATGTTATTAATAATTAACTTTTTCATCAACCAATCGCAACAGACCTTGTTCGAGCTGCTACATGAACCCCCACTGAGCTATATAATATGGTGGCTCAGAAGGGCCATCGCTCTCTCCAAATTTTTCTGGCCGCTCTCTAATTTATAGCACCACTTATTAGTCGTATTTTCAGTTAGGGTTATGCCGCGTGTTATGCTGCACGTTATGCCGCATGTTATGCCGCCCAGACGTGTGTATAGTTTAGTCACGTAATAATAATATTCCAAAATAATAATATTTCAAGATGTTGTTGAGCGAAATAGATGAGTTAATTTTATACTTTTATAAAGTATTTATGATATTATTTTATTACAAAAACAAATAGCAAGTGTGTATTGCATAGAATATTTTCAGGTTATAAAATTTCTTAACAAACCAGAAAATAAACGAGGAGATATGCAAAAACGTTTGTAGAGAGAAGGCAGGTTTCTAGTATTACGTGTGCATATGCTTTCTCCACTTATGAGTTGAAATGTTAATCACATACAGCTGCGTGCCAGTCTGGCGATTTTGTCATCCTATGCAAATAATTATTCATTTCTCTACAAAATTATTGTTTTGCCAGTCAAATAATGGGCACCAAAATATTAACAAAGTATTACTATGTATGTTGTCGAGGGCAAATCGATTAAGATTTTGTGGCACTTCACTGAGTTCACTCGATGTTGGTAATTTCTTTGAGCGTAGGTTTGATAGTTTACTAATTCTTCTCAATGGTTCCTGGCTTGAATTGAGTTGTGTATGATTTCACTAAAAATTAAGACCCTTAAGGCACTATTACACAGTCCAATCTTTCATGCAACTTGCAATACAATTCCACTTTCGAGAGATGTAAATTTGGCAACTACCAAACTTTTTGTTTATTGCACATGGCGGGGACGTTTCCAACTCTTAAACTAGAATTGCATTGCAAGTTGCAAGAAAAATTGCTTTGTGCATGTGAAGGCCTTAAAAGAGAAGTGTTAGGACTAATTTAGGTTAGGGGTTTCAGTTCATCATTAAGGTTAAGGTATGCTGTTCCGTATAGCCATATAGGCGTTCTGGGGGACAATAATTAT